ACGGCCATATCACGCTGAAAGCACCGGTTCTCGTTCGATCCCCGAAGTTAAGCAGCGTCGAGCCCGGTTAGTACTTGGGAGGGAGACCACCTGGGAATACCGGGTGTCGTAGACTTTTTTTGCACAATATTTTTTACTTTTTTGCTAGTTTTAATCCCAATACTTATTTTGCAATTAATATCTGACATGAAAATTGCATTTTATTTTATATAAAACTTAAAAACCCTTATAACATACTGTAGACACACACACTTTTCAGTAACTAATTAGACTATTAGTGTAATCAATATTAAAATACCCAAATGTGACACTTTTAAATGATAACAAGTTTTTTAACACCAGACTCTAGGACTTCCTATGAAGGGCGCCGGGAGGTTGCAAATAAATGTATTAATGAAACCCAACCGGTATTTGTCGTAAGTTTAACCATACTTTTAATGAACTCCTATTTGAATGAAACATTTTGTCAGTGGGTTCGGCAATGTTAGGAAAGCTGTCGTCCCCTTCGTATGGGTGGAGGAGGTATTGAAAATTGGAGTAAAATTAGCAAAATATGACAAATAATTGACTGAATTGTGTATTGCATGGAAAGGCGGCCGGAGTTGAGGGCAGTTTTGAATGGATGTTAAGGGCGGCTATATATCCAATGCTGGCCATCGATTACGGCTCCGTTGCCACACTCGTGGGAGGGCTGGCACTGATGGCCTATACCGGTGCCTACGCTTTATATAAGAGACAAATTGTAACCAAACTTTAGGGTAAATTGTATTTTTAATTTTCGCACTAATTTTTGTATCATTTATACAGTTATATCCACCAAAAAGTGAAAAGCCTATTGTGAGTGCAACTCCCGGTGCCACGGATACAAATACCACGAATATATATCCCAACCTGAATGCCAATCCGTTTACAGTGAGTGGACGTATGGCTGAGAAGGGAAAGGGGTATATGAATGATAATAGTTGGAGTAACCAAGCTTACTCGACAAGTCAACAAAAATACGTTAAGTCTAATATTTTCAGTCCTAATACCTCACCCATCAATGGCACCGGCATCTACCCGAACCTTAAACAGCAAAGGGCCATGTGGTCACCACCAGGGTCAGCTGAATAGATCGCTTCATGTTGTTATTGTTAATTGCAAGTTTAATGCTAATGTTATTCATTTGGCATAGTTTTTGTCATTAATAAATTCATTATTTAATATTTATACATAAATTTGTTTATTTTACTGAATTAACCAAATATTTTTAAATATTATAAATAAATCTAAATTGTTCATTTTGAATCTAAATGTTAGGTCAAGCGAATTATATGTAATGTTTTAGCTGTTCAAGATGACTTAACTTAGAAAATTGAATGCAAAGCATAATTTAAATAAAAAATATTTTCTTGAATTAGTAATCGATTCAAACTTTTATCATAAATGGTGTGAAGAATGGGATGACATTTAAGTTTGTTTAGGAGTTTAGTAAAAGGATTTTGAAATTCTGTTATATTTATTACAAATTTATAAACATTTTAAAAATACAAATTTGACAAGGGTGATATTTACGTAAACACATTATTATTAATATACGGAATAATACAGTAGATGTACTCAATTATAATCAGCCGAGAGTGCCATCAAACTTAGCCTGAAAATAGTTGACGGCCGCGGGTTCACCCAAATTGTTAGTCTTCGCGAATTCGCGTACTTTAAAGAATGGACGACCAGTTAGTGAATCACTGGCCACTGTCGCCTCCGTTGAGTTAATAATCTCTGGCTGTTTGTACACTAAAAATATGTATCTATGAAGTCCAGTGCCCTGCGGTGGTCCCGAACCCTTATACTTAGCTAATGTGCGACCCTTTGCCACATTATTGCCGGGAATATTGATGACCAACCAGTGCTTGTATTGACCAAACATGGGATCTTCACGACTGGGAGCGTCGGGATCTGTCATCACGAGTGTGTAGTGGGAGCTGTTGTCTGCGGGCCAGTCCACTACCGGTTTGGTCTTCACTTGAGTCGGTGTCAACTCATTGCCGAACTTCACTTCAAGTCCTGACGAGTACTTCACCTAAAATTCATAACAACTTATATTAAGTGAAATCA